AATATTGTCTAAAAGTGCCATCTTCAAACGGTCACCTGCAATAATAAACATATGGAGGGGAAATCTTCACACACACAGAAATATTCATTATTTATTTCCAGTTTACTTGAAGACACTTTCGATAGCTCTAACTATGCAGCATCAAATGCTACAATGGTTTCTAAAGTGGGAGGGACATGGAAGGAAGTGGTCACAGCTTACTTCAAATACTATCACGACATTCGCCCAGAGGGACTGAACACAACCATGAAAAACTTCAAGATTTGAACTCACAACTTCCCAAACACAGTGGTAACCACTTAACAGCGACATTAAGTAAAGAAATGTTACATTCAGCGACAGGTTATAATTTAATAACACTTGAGCAGGTGGAAACCAACAGTCACACTAATTTTCAGCAGGTATATATTACAATCACTAAAGTTGTATTTTTCTCCTTAATGTAAAGAAGATGAATCAGGTGTCTTTATTTGGCCCAGCTCACTCCTCACACCTCTGACATTCCGTGTGAAACAGATCGTGCCCATCAGAGGGTTTCGCTGGATAAATAACAAATTACACTGATCCTATCATGGTAAGCTCACGGCCTGAAGATACACTTCTCAAGTGGGCAGATTTCTGGGTTACATATTCTGATTGCTCTGAATTCTGCCTGCCTAAGGAACAAAGTGCAAGTCTCTCCACAAGGATCAACCATAATATTCAACTTGAAAGTAAATGATGAGCTCCACGTAAACAACGCAAGTGGTCACATTTGCAACCATTCTTCCTTTAGGTAGGACTTGAGGTACCCATGACAGCGGATGTTAAGACGTCTGTTTTCTGGGTTGTGAAACTGTGTGGTCCGATGGAAGTTTACCAGCATTTCAGATGTACTTGCTGTCTTCATCATCAGTGTGACTTATAGCCATCATGATTGGAGGAAGCTAGTAACTCTGAAATGTCAGTAAACTTCAACCAGACTACATGGCACGTGAACTCAGAAATGAGCCATCTCCTTACATCCTTTGGACAAAAGACTTGGTTTGGCTCTAGAGGTGTTTTGACACGTTGATAACACAAAACTGAAAAATATGTCCACTGGGATTTGTTCCCAGCCATCCAATTCAATTATTCATCATGCTACCATAGTCATCAATAAGTTTACAAAATCAGAAATTAACTCCACTTACCATTCTAGTAGACCTAAAGTTGGCAGGAATAACCTATAAAAGAAGGATTTATAATTAGTAAAGCAATTTAACATCAACCACCTTCTTAACTAACAAATACACACAAATTAGTTCAGGCTCAAAGGGACAAATTATCCTATAAACGTGGGAAAGGAGAATAACAATGAATAAAAGTTACAACTACTGAAATAATAGAAATATTTGGAAGTTAAAACCAGTACTATTATTATTATTATTATTATATAATGTAGGAAAAATTAAATTTCTGCTGTTGTGAAAGGTTTTGTCACAAGACACAGCTCACCCCTTTCTGTATGGTGTTCTACTTGGTACTAAGGAGTATTGAAACACAGGTATCAGAATATAACAAATTTCACTAAAGTAAAGAAGAAACTACAGTACCATTAAAATTAAACCCAACTTTAAAGAGTTCCTTTACAGCAAATCTGAATTAAAAGATGGAACATTAAGAGAACCAAGAGAATGACACACAAATAGTCAATGTAGGAAAGCATTTAAACACAAACCTACTTACATAATTACATCAATTAGTCTAAAGTTTTCCACAAATTAATTTATATATCCAGTGTGTCTACGAACCTTGAATATTTCAGTTTTCAGTAAAAGAAGATGAAAGGCACTCCGTATCAACCTACAAAAATTCAAATGCAGAACACAGACAGCTGTTAAAGACAAAAGAGTATCACCAAGCCCCATATCGATTAGGAACATTGCCACCTACACCTGCCATCTATGCATATATCTAAATTACACAAGAATGCATGGGTGCCAATAGTTGAAACTGCGTTTTGCCAATGTTAAAGCTAAAAGTAATGAACTGTAGGTGTATTTTGTTTACATAATTCAGCAAAGGAACCATTTCTTACCTGGCTATATTGTTTTACTCCACACATTAGTAAAAGCGTTGAGAGTGGACCCCGGTTTTTTCGGTTTTGCAGATGAACAATTAGAAAAAACAATTAATTTCAAAAACAAATATAACAAAAGTAATTTGAACATAACAATCAAATATAACAAAACAATCAGATTCTTCACCAGATGGTGGCGAAGAGGTCTAGGACTGATTGCTTCTCCTGAAACAAGATATGAATATCACATCAAACATTTTTATAAATGTCTACAAATGTAACCTTAAAAAGTGTTAACATTACAAGAAATCCCCCTCCCCTCAAATGGATGACTTAAACATCTTACCTTCTTTGAATGAGCTTTGCCGAATACTTTCCAGAACTGAAGAGTCTCATCACAAGTGCCAGTTACGATCACTTCTCCATCAGGTGACATGGCCAGGTAGGGCACACTATACGGATGGCCAGGGAGTTCTGCCTCCTGTCCAAGCTGGGATACTTCCACACTCTTATTATGTTCTTTGGGTAGCCAAGGGAGCTAAACCTACAACAAACAATCAAACTTCCATTAGAATTGGAATTAAAAGCAATAATCTGAAATAACCTCCATGATAATTTGTCAGCCATTCTCAATTAACAGCCAATGACAGCACAACAGGTGTTGACATCATCAGTTAATGCACATTGGCATCACTGTAGATTGTAATCCAGCTACCTCACAACTTCTACCATGCATGTCAGGTTGGTATTACAGATTGCAGAGTACAATTATGGAGTAAAATCAAAACAGCATAATTACCATGCCAAAGTCATAAAAATCTATTCAGTCATTCTAGAGTTGTAAGTGTATGGTAGGACAAAGAAAACTAATCAGGTGCTCTGTACGGACTCAAACATTCCTAGAAAACTTGTACTGGTACACCCAATTTGCCAAAGGTATAGCAGAAAAAGGAAAATTCAGTTCTACATCATTTAAATGTTTCTGGTTTACAATGTCTCCAGGGATGATCTCTCCAGGCCTCTGCCAACTCTGGGTAAGTCTAGAATCTCCTGTTCAGGTGGGGGCAACCACAGGGCAGATTCCATTACCCCAACCAAAAGGGTGATTATTAAGAGGGGCCCTACAGTTTAATGTGTGCTCTGAACCACAGTTGGGGGCCTGGTATACTTAATTTTCCCCAGGTTCAGAGGAATGTTTAGACCAGGCAAGATTACAGACTTGAGATCCAGTGTTTACACACTGCATTGGTAGTCCTGTGAGCGTGTTCCAGAAACGAATATGCTGATCTGCTACGCCTCCACCACTAGCCAAGAGTCCACGATGGTGCGGGGACCAGGCAATATGTGCAAAAAAATGTATTTCTGTATATTAAGGATTGTGTCCAACCAAGTACTCCAACTCCGTCAAAATGGCCTTGCAGCTCATTAACTTTTGAACTTATAGCAACGTCCCAGACCTGCATGTAGCCATGATGTGTGCCAACAGCTATCCCTACAAATGCAAAACACCAGGTCATTATTGTGTCCACTAATTAAAGCAAGTCCTAAATTATATCAGAGGTGATGATGCGTTATCTGTTCGGTAACATTTCCTGGTTTACCTTCCACTGCGAAAATATCAAAATATTTGATCTCGGACTTCGGCCGCTTCCCTCTCCTGACCGCTTCGCTGTAACCTAGGACAGCGCCACACAAACAGCCAGTTTGATATTTTCGCTTCACCCACGCAACTCGGACCGCTCGCATTCAGTCGCTCATGTAGGACACCGGGTAAGTCTGCACAGGTGAGAGCGAATGCCGATTCCAAACATTCAGGTGACCTTCATTGCCACCGGAGGCCAGGCTCTGCTTGTCTGGAGACCACTTCAAGCCGCAACCCTTTAAACAAAAGATATTTATAGTAATTGAAATGGGTGGCAATAATTTTTGAAACATATTTTTCAGCTCTCAACATTAATAGCAATATTTGATGTGATGTTCTCACAGTGGTGATGTTGATGCTGTTCTTCTGGGTCATGATATGATATGGAGATGAATTGTCTTTAACTTCAGAGCTGAAGATTGAGACTGTATGTATTTCGAACGCTCTGGTATCTATGTGAGTCCACATGGTGTCATAATCCAAAAACACAATGACACTATTCTGCAATAATAAGAAAATTAATAACATTTAAATGATTTTCTACTAACCACGTGTTGATGGCCAACCAACCTTCTCTCTGTCACAAGACTAGGAGTACTCACATCACATTGTAAGATAATTACATCACCACTTTCTGACGACAGAACATCACCGTTCCAACCAAGTACTCCAATTCCGTCAAAATGGCCTTGCAGCTCATTAACTTTTGAACTTATAGCAACGTCCCAGACTTGCACGTAGCCATGATGTGTGCCAACAGCTATCCCTACAAATGCAAAACACCAGGTCATTATTGTGTCCACTAATTAAAGCAAGTCCTAAATTATATCAGAGGTGATGATGCGTTATCTGTTCGGTAACATTTCCTGGTCAGAACATGCATATCCTTATCTACTATCTACAGCACTTGCAGAATATGGCAATAATTTTTCATTTATACATAATCATGACACCATGGTATATCAAAACACAGACAAATACATTTTGGCTCATAGGTCTTCATGGCTGGAACAGCCTACATAAACAAGGCCTTCACAACTGGCCCCATCCTATAACCAACTTGACTGTGCATAAGTGCATTGTTTGCAAAAATTATGGTAAACATTAAACAACTGACATGTCAATGCATAGTGATAATTTTCCTATACAATTAATAATGCATATATGCATAACAAATACTTTAAAGAATAACAACAAACACAGAAATAACCAAATTCATATTTAACAGAAATAATTTTCAACAATCTGAGTAAAAACAGTCTGGCCAATACTTACGCGCTCATTCCATGCAACTGATATCACAGAGTTGCCATTTCCAGACACATACTTTAATACAGCATCCACAGCAAAGATAGACGCAACTTCCCAATCCCACACTTAACACATTCTCTTAAGACCAATCAATAAGAATGAGGTAGAGGTCATCTTGAAGCTCAGGGGCATCCAACACCTTCAAGAAAAAGACATAACCTTCAATAAATATGGACAAATATTAAAGTACAAAACATGAAACTCACAATGATTAATATAAAGAAGAAGAAAATTAACTATTTCATAATAAACATTCTATCATTGTCTCGTGGCTTGTGTTGGCAGAACAGCTGATCATGGAGTGACAACAGCCACGTCAGCCAATTCAGATTTCATCAGAGACGGGGGAGAATCAGACACTGAGACGGAATGTGGAGTGAGCAGAGATACTTCATTTGTGGATTTTTCAAGATTAAAACTAATACAAAATATGACTAACCTTGAAGGGTATTCTTGATATTTTCCTCCTTGACTTTCTCGGTGCACTAAGCAACTTCTGGCTTTGTGCACTAAGTGGTGACAAGGAAAAGATATTTGATCCTGGAATGAACGCTCTTCTCTCATCACATTGGTCTCTAAGATCTTGAATGTTGGCGCCAAGAAGTTCGTTTTTCAGCAGACATGCGTATGCCAATCTCCCACTCCCTCTGTCACCATTTTCACGAGCCTCTTTCGTAGTAAATCCATTCTGGCCAGACTCCTATATTTAAAAACAGACATAAATTTCATTGACATTTCTACAACTGGCTTACATAAAGAGAAATTCATAAAGCTTATAGACAACGGGGAATTGACAACTTCATGCAAAAGACCTGATGGGAAGTACATCACAAATAGTAGTTTTAAATGATGGCATGATACACTCACTCCAGGTCCAAAGAAAAAAAAAAGTAAATTAATTACCGGGACATACAGCACTTCTTATGTCCTCAATTTCATAATCTGTTATTGTTTTTGTACAGTGCAATTGTAGTCAATTAAGATGAAACCAATTTTTGTGGATAAAGGTTCATTTACATATCTGATAAAGTATTGTCATGAACACAAATTGATTTCATCCTGAGCACAGCATACTCACTTCATCTATCCACTACTCTTATAAAATCACAAAAATCATAACTTAATGAAAAACACTTACTGTGTTCATGAGAAACTTGATGCGCCAACTGTTGCCAACACGCGGCTGAATAAAGCGATCTCCTGACTGCAAGTAAGGACAAGATGTCGGTAACATTGCAGTTTGAAGTACAAAACAAGTAACGCACTCCTTCCCAACTTAAGAATTTCAACTGCAGACAGGAAACAACAGTTAATGACAAAAGAGAATCAGCAAGGCACAGAACACATACTAACCTGAAACACCGACTTCTGTGATCCATGCAGAATCTCCAAATTACACAGATATATAGAGGTGGCGGTAGATGGACTTGCTCTCCTCCTTCCCTACTCCAGACCTTCTCCCACCACCTTCCAACCCACATGGTCCTCCTCCAAGACCTGCATCCATCTCTTCCTCGGCCTTCGACGTCTCCTCCTTCCCTCCATTCTTCCCTACTCCACAGCTTCTCCCACCACCTTCCAACACACATGGTCCTCGAAACAAGTGCTTTTGATGATCAGACTATTCTTTAGCCTCTTCCGTGGGTGCATAAGCTGAAACAAAAGACAAGTTTCTGAAGAGTCCTTTGAGCCTTATCTTGCATATTGTCTCCTAAAGGCTCAAAAACCAAATAGCTTCGTTTTTATCCACCCTGCCATGTCCATTCCACCTCACCTACTCCAATGCCACCATGTCCATCCCATACTTCAGCACCTCCATCATTTTTCCTACCTTCATCATAGTTCTAACATTCCATGTGGCCACGGTCAATGTCGCAGTTCGCTTCCGAGTCCGTGAACGTTTGCCAGGTCCATTACCAAATAATCCATCCATCCGAGGCTCTTTTGAGAGTATCCTAACAATATTTGTTTTCCGGGGTGGGGTTGTTAACCCCAAGCCCAACCCCCAACCTGGAGGACCAGGGTATCACTCTTAGTCTGGCTCATCGCCTTAGACCTGTCCAGAATGGGTGACCCTACCAGGAGCTGAAGCTCTGGCCGGCATAGCCCTAAGGGTCATTTGAGCACGCAAGCCTCCTCACCCAGCAAAATTTATTTGCCTTCGACAAGGTGGTGATACCTTCAGGAGGAAACAATTTAACTATTTAATAAAACTAATCCATTTAACAAACCACAAATAATTAAACTATTTAACAAAATCTTAACAATTAAGTTAT